GGAGTCATATATAAGACCCAGGTCTTCTCAAGCCCCACCCCATTCTTCTCTGCACCATCCGATCCAACCGTCCTCGTTGTCACCACTCATTGCTGATGTCTATCTTAAATTGCTCTGGATTAGTTCCCTGAATAATTTTCTGTGCCAATATTTTTCTTTCATTTTTGGAAGGCTTTATAATCTCATTAGACAACATGACTATGAATCAAAAGGTCTGCATATTCTCAGCAAAAGTGGCTACCAGTATTTGCCATTCAATTATTTAGTTTCGCTCACCACTGATGTTAGCTTTGCATGTCTCTTTCTTTCAGGGAAATGTAATGTAGGCTGTGTAATATGCAGAAGAATCTGAGAAGCAGGAGACCTGAGTTCTCACCTTGGTTCTGCCATTGTCTAGACGTGAAATGTTGGACAAGTTGTTATACCATCATAGCTGTTAGTTTCCTATCAAACAGAACCTGCAATGCCTTTCTGACCTCAGAGGGTGATATTAACAAAAACTATGTGAAAGGTTTGAAAACAACTAAATCCTAAACATTGGCAAGTCTTTTTAGAATTCCTGCTAACATTAAATGTATCTATATGGGGTGGGAGGATGAATAAAGAAACTTCCAAGTGACTGACCTGGATCAAGCAGATTTGGACGATATCTCTACATGTCTCCAAGAATATGCATTATAATGCTCTATGCCTATGGCATAAGAGTGTAGTTGGAAATGTGGAGGAGAAAGGCTATTGCCTTTTATTTCAGAGACCTGCTACCTTTATAACACATACCTACACCCAATTCTCTAAGGGCAACCATTAACCCAGTTTGAGGTACCAGAATCAAGCAGGGTTTCTCCATTTCTGGTATCTGCCGAAAAACAAAAAATCTTGATTTCTAGTTTAACATGAATCTCAGTAAAGATTAAAGTATATAATAATCTACCCCTACGCACATATCAGAATGGGAAAAATCTGTGACTGTGACAATATCAAATGTTGACAAGGATGTGGAGCAACAAGAACTCTCAGTCTATGCTGGTAGGAATGCAAAATGTTATGGACACTTTGGAAGACAGTTTTGACAGTTTCTTAAAAAAATGGGAAAACTGGGGCTGGAGTTGTGGCTCAGCGGTACAGTGCTCACCTCGCATGGGCGGGGCCCTGGGTTCGATCCTCAGCACCATATAAAAATAAACGAAATAGAGGTATTGTGTCCAACTATGACTAAAAAATAAATATTTAATCTTTTTAAAAAATGGATCTAATAATCTCACTCCTGGGTGATCACCCAAAGGAGTTGCAAGTGTCCACACAAAAAGCAGCACATAGACGTTAATATCAGCTTTATTTATGATTGCAGAAACTTGGGAGAAATCAAGATATCTCTCATCTTCAGGTTGATGAATAAATGGTGGTTCATCTGGACAAGGAATTCACTGTTGAAAAATTCACTTTTCAAGCCATGAAAAGAGTAGAGGAGATTTCAATGCCTTTTACTAAGTTAAAGAAGCTGATCTAAAAACTTATACATTATACAATTCCAACTAGATGGTATACTGAAAATAACAAAACTATAGAGAGAGTAAAATGATCAGTGGTTGCCAAGAATTGGAGATTAGGAGTGATATGAATAGGTGGAGCTCAAAGGATTTTAGGGGCAGTGAAAATATTCTGTATGACACAATAATGATAGATACATGTCATATTACATTTGCCTAAACCCCAAAATTGTACAATACCAAGAGTGAACCCTAAGGTAAATTATGGACTTCTGGTGATTATGACATATCAGTGCAGACTCATCAGTTGTAATAAACATATCATTTTGGTGGAAGATATTGATAAATGGGAAGACTGTGCCTATGGGAAAGCAGGGGGCATTTGGAAAGTCTATGTACCTTCCTATCAATTTTGCTGTGAACCTAAAAGTGCTTTAAAAAACGTCTTCAAAAATAAAATAAAATCAGATGAGAATAATTCAATAATACTCAGTGATGAGAAAATTACATAAATATTTATATGGAATGAGCTAAAAAGTATCCTGAATCTAATCTCAACTTCCTCCTCATTAAGGAACTGGTGATAACTTTTAATGATGATGACTTAAAGATTCACTTGTTAGCCTCTTCTCTATCCCCCAGACCTTCTTGTTTCAAGCCATCTAAAGCTATTCAGTTAGTCATTGAGGTGACTAATATTTTTACTACTGGTCTTTCCCTAATCACAGACAATAATAGTCTATCAGCACTTGCTACTTTTTAAGAACAAAACTTTACCAATTCACACCTTTGAAAAACTCGACTTCTTTCCAACATGCTCTGCAAATGATTAGTTACAGCTTGACTTCTTGTTAGTAAATATGGTGGCATGATACTTTAGCTCTGTGCCTCTCTAACCCCAGCTTTTACGTCTCTTTCTCCCTTAATCAGTGTCTTCTCTGCTATGCAATATTGGGAGAAATATTGTAAGTCTCTTAAGGAAAGAAGACTTTGCTTCCTGAAACTCCAGCTGAAGATCTATCATTGCTTTGCACTATATCTCCTCCCATGTAACACTGTTAAACTCAGCCTTGACCTCAGAAGTAGTGCAGGGATATAACTATTTAATTACCTCATGTTCAATATCAGGAAGGTTCTGCTATTCATCTCAACATAGTTCTGCACCCCAAGGAAAATGCTCTTTGATGGCCTGGCATTTTCTTGGATTAAGAATCATGCACAATAGTAGCCAAGATGTTTCCTCTCTGGTTCTCCCTTCTTTTCATAGCTCACTTTGGAAACTGTACTGCTTTTGCCTCAGGGCTGATGTGATTTCTCTCTAGTATTTGGATTATGAACAGGCTAATTATCTGCAACTTATTGCACTTGTCTTTGTGAATGTCCACTGGAAATACGAACACTGCTTTTTGTTTGTTCATTGGACCCACGACAGAAAAGTTGTTCAATAACTCATCCTTTCTGGTCACTTCCAAACAAAGGATTCTCTCAAGAAGAAAAATTCCTAAACAATATCTACCTCAAAAAATCAAGATCTTCTTATTTGAACTCTGGGTCTAATGTTCAAAGTCGAGTGACTCTAGTAAAGGCAGCCATGAGCAGGTCTCTTCAAGAGCAGCATGGTCCACGATGTCATGGACAAGGCCTATATGCCATTGGCTGTGTCCTTCCTTAAGTTGGCACATAAAATGTGGGAGTAAAGGTCAAAATATAAAAAGTCTGATAATTTTCTAGGATATCCTTCTTTGGAATCCTTGTGTCCTTTGAAGGCGGATGCCCCCCAGCTCAAGAAAATTGAAAACAACTTAGAATGAGCAACAATGGGATGGTGATAATCTAGTCCTGAGATGAGCTATTGTATTGTCTATGTAGAAAGTTGATCACAATGAATTTATCCTCACTGTTCTGGAGCTGTGGGTCTCAAAGATTGTTAGGCCATGGATAGAACTGTGCCAGAGGAATTTGAAAATGGACCCAATATCTGCTATAGATCAGGCCATTACTTGAAGTTTCAGAAATTCCCATCATATCAGATAGTCAAGTGATTTTTAAGAATCCTCTGTCAGGTTGCACTTATTAGACACAGAATATAAATCAAACTCTTTTTGCAAAGAAGTTGTCATGGAAATTAAGTTTCTCTGGGAGGAAAAGAGGTCGGTGCTTCAGGATGCTAAAGAGAGAGTGACCACGTGTTTTGCTTTTCCATGTGTGCTTGATGTTTGCACCTGTTGCAATGACTCAATAATGCTTCCCCTTTCATGTCCAAAAGTGCTCCAGTTTGAGAGAGAGGAATGATGTGGTCACCCTTGCTATATGATATTTGGATATTACACTCCAAAAGCACTGTGTTCACTGACCTAGCACATGGTCTTTCAGGCAAACCAGGTGCTCAGGTTAGGTCAGCCTAGGGGAAGCCCTCTATTAGGCAACACAGGATACAAAATACAATTCTTATCTAGCTAACTGGACCCCAAAACACGAAGCCCTCCCTAAGGGAATATGTGCCAAATGTTTCTGAAACAGAGTTTTCTCAATTCACATTTCTCTTCACTTTATAACATAAACATGGAGCCAGAGAATTCTGATCAATGGGAATAACAGAACAGCCATTCATTACCTTGTCTGTAAATAAAGAGAAATATATAATGAAGAATACATTGGAAGGATTGGGAATATGGAGATGCATAAAACAAGGAATTCTGTTGTTTGAGTCACCAGATCCATAATCATCATGCCCGTGCTACTTTAAACCAAATTAATGAAAGCAATACCACTGTATGCCATGTGCAATCTCCTATTCCCACATCCCTCCCTCTAGAACTTTCACCAGTACACAAAAATAGTAAAGGTCTTATAATAGAACTCTTTTCTTCATCCAATTATGTTTATATCTGAAGATGATGAACATCAGCCAAGATTTTCTTATTCCAAAATATACTTTGAGTCAATGCATTATAAAATTTTAACACTGAGCTACAATTCTCCTTTTTATTGGTTATTATACTGATTTTAGTCAATAACAGTATTATTACATAAAAAGAATATAACTTAGCCTTTAAATATGAACTTTTTTGTAAGACTGGCTCTAAAAAAAATTCAGGAAGAGGAGAAGTGAATGTCCTACAGCAAGAAATTAAAATTGGTACAATGATGTTTAAAAAAAAAGTTTTATTAACTTTAGATTAAATAGACATCAGGTATTCAATTAAAATGATTTCTGAGGTTTTAAAACCATCATGTTCTGTGATTAATATAGTAAATGTATGTTTGATTGAAATATTAAGCAGAAGGGAAATAAATAACAGAGTTTTAAAAAATATATTCTCATTAGTAATTCAGGGATGAAGTAAAAAGTCCAGTAAAAATATGGCCTGCTTCTAGGAGATGAATAATATTATTTACGGAACTCTTTTGAACAAGCCAGGATGTTCTCATTTGCATGTGTAGCCTGATTGGTGAATTATGTCCCAGGATTCCAAATCATTGTTCTTTAAACTGGAGCCCAGAAATATTCCTTATGGCCCAACCTCCTTTCTCCTGCCTGTTTCTCTCACTCTCTTTGCCATGATGTAATATAGACTTGGGGTAGGAGAGGAACATCTGGATGGAGCAGTCAGTGCATCTCCATCATATTAAAGCAACTGAATGAAAAGAAAAAGAACTGGTCAAACTGAGAATTAGGTGTTGTTTTTTTTTAAAAAAAAAAAGAAAGAAAGCACCTTGTTTAAATGGATTTAACCCATCAACCTACTTGAGGTTTTCCTTTGAAATCAAAGATGGCAACAATTTAAGTGAAAACAGCAACTAATATAGGTAAAGAATGAAGAGGAAAATCAAAAGCCCATTTCATGATGGGAGAAGAGGGCAAGTGCAGTAACCAATTTTAGCTATAAACTTATTTTTGACTAGACCACAAAATCTTTAAAGAATATATAATATTAACTATTATTATTGTAACTATGTATTATTATGTTGTATTTTTATTAATTATATAATTAATATATTATTTTTTTATATTTTATTATATTGTTATTAATTGTATATTGTTATAATTATTAATAATATATAAATGCACTTGTGACTTTAAATATTCTTTCCTGACAATAAGCAGTAATTTGGCTTTGGATACATCCAAATGATCTCTTCAATCTTTGATGATTTTGATGATCCACTGTTCACTCAACCAATATTTTCCAAGTACTCTCATATGTCAGGAAATGTAAGAGGCCCTAAGACTTCAATGGTAAGCAAAAAACTGACACAGCCCTGTCTTCATGGAGAACAGCCCTGTCCTCCAGAGGAAAAATATGGATTGTTGTTATATAACCACACAAACCAATGCAAAACTGGCAACCCATATAGGAGCTACTACACAGAAACAGACGCTGTGAGAGTCTATAATGAGGGAGTGATCCAGTCAGGGAGGTCAGGAAGAGGTGTGTGGAGGTGAGATCTGAAGGCTCTACTAGGTGTTGTGGAGATGGGGGAAGTAAATTGCAAAACAGAAAACGGCACATGCAAAGGCCCAGTGAGGCTCTCCAAATAAGCCAGTGTGACTAAAGCTCAGAGAGTAAAGCTGAGTAGGTCAAGTAGGGGTCGGGCCATACAGTTTTGAGGATCACATGACAGTTTCAGTTTTCCTTAGAGATATTGGAAGGTTATTGAGAGGTTTTAAAGGAAAGGGTGACATGATCAGAATTGAAAAGGTCCCTGTGTCAGATCTCAATTAAAAAAATGAAATATGTATTACCCCAGCTACTAGGAATACTGCCAGAAGACAACCCTTCCTGTCAAATTCCTTTGGGAATAACCTGATCTGTAGAGCACCAAGCAATGTGGGGGCATTATGTCCTGACCTGCTATTTCCACTTTGGGACAACTCTGCAGGGTCACCCCAGCTTCAGAAGTCCCCCAGCACTGGCTGAGCCTTTGGTCAACTTGATGGAAGCTCAGCTTCTCCTGTACCCAAAGCCTACTTCCCTTCCTTCTCATAAAAAAAAAAAACATTCCTAATAAACTTTTGGCATGTAAATCTCCATGTTGAACCTGCTTCCTAGGAAACCCAACCTGTTACCACCTAGCAGTAAGGTGGAGAATTATCTGGAGAGGGGTCACGGTGGTTGGTAGAGGTGTCCCAAGTGAGTGGCTCCCTGGAGGTAAACCAGGGGTAGTGGTAGTTGGGTCTAGGATGACGGGAAGAGACTTCACTTCCTGGAAGACATTTAGGAAGTGAAAGATTATAGGATTTGGTGATGAAATGGATATGGGAAAGAGTGGTGATGAGGAATGAGATATCAGGAATGATTAGCCACTCTCTGGGATGCACAGCTGGAAACACTGGAAAGGGTCAAGTATGAGGGAAAGATCCAGTTCCCTCTCTGCACTGGTTGAATTTACACATCTAAGTGGAGCATCAAAGAAAGCATTGGCTATAGTATCTAGACCATGTGTCTAGGTCATCAAAAGAGCCATGTCTGTGGATGGAATCATTTAGGGGATGAGAACAGACTGGGAAGAGAAAGGAGCCTAGGTTGGTCCCCAAAGGGACTCATCTTGATGCTCTTCCCAGTTTTGATCTTACATATTTCCATACCTTCATGAATTCTAGAAGCAGAATTCACAACTTCTAAAAAATAATCATTCTTTAACAATAAGAGGGAAACTGGGGCATTTTTGTTCATCTGTACAGCTTGTGCATAATATCAGAGGCCTCTCACCTCTAAACTAATCCTTAGACACATTAGTGATACACAGTCTGCAGGTCATCAACTCCTCCACAGGGAGTCTTTGCTTTTGTGATCTTATTTTGTAGCTTTTACAAATACACAATCTACTCACAGAAAGTTCTGTGGGTCTAATACATACAAATCAGTGCTTGCAGGGAGTTAGAAAAGGGTGCTTACATTGCAATTATGCACAATTTTGAATTCAATAGTAGACACTCTCATTCTTAAAACCCACTCTGACCGTTTTCCAGGAGGAATTTTCATTAGTTCTTCATCTCACAAAGAGCTCAAGTTCCTACCCTATCCTCTTCCTTCTGCTGCTCTTCTCTACCATCGACTCTCTTCTTGCTTCTTCCTCTAAGGAACAAAACACAGGGAGAAAGTGAAGAGGGAAAGTTTCTGGAGTTGTAGGATATGGATCAGACAAATTCCATAGCAAGAAGATGAGGCAAGAGGGCTCTCGGGGAAACAGAGGTAGAGTACCTACAAAGGGATGGGAGAGTAGGGGAAGAAAATATGTCTGCTTTGTCCTGTGCAGGACTGTGTTTTAAGTTTTGCAGAAGTATAGTTGAGACCTCTCACAGAGCACACATTCAAAAAGACAGAGAGTAATACACTTTGATGTGGCAATAACTACCAAGGAAATCTGTGACTCCCTCATAATGCATGCATGTCACTCTCAGCTTCTCTGGGAGCCTGCTTTTGCTCTGCCCTGCCTGGGGATGGAGGACCAGATGATGAAGACTGGAATGTAATTGATTACTGAGGCCATAAACTGTGCAACTCTAATGACGCACCAATTAGGGTGCAGAGGGCTGGGAGAGAGGGCGGAGGCCATTTTTTGTTGTTTTCTGGAGCCTGTTTTGGAATTTTCCCATCCTTCTCTATATATAACAATAGACATTAGCATTTTCATATGTCTTGAAAGTTAAAGCAAGATGTGGGAAATTCAATTGTTGAAGAGCAGAGTTCTCTAATTGCACTCTTCAGAGATTTCCAGTACTTTTGGAAAATGTGCATTGACAAAGAGCTTAATTTAATTATAGGGGGGTGTTTCATTTCCAGGGATGGCCTGATTTCCAATCCACACTCCCACCCCAATGAATCTGCTCTGCTACGAAAGCTTCCACTGATTTCAAAGGGCATAGAAAATAGAGCAGAGATGCTGAACAGTGGAGTTGGATATGATTCTTGCCGACATCTTTTTATCATCTAATTTAAATCTGGTCATCACTGTAGAAAGCAAGTTGCTTTTGGGTAATGGGTGCATCAAGAATTATTCAAAAGAGCTAGAGCTAGATCCGAAACGTTGAATGGAAGGGGTATTTCATAACTAAACATGGTGCCCAGTAAAATAACATCTATTTTCTGAGACACTACTGACTCCCACTCACATGGGTGTTATTACAGATTTGCAAGCCCTATTTGGCCACCTCTTCAACACCAAACGAAACACATGAGTTAGCAGTTTGGCTGAAACAAACAAACCAAAAAACCACATTCACTCTTACCACAACTGTATGTCAAAATTCATATCTTCTCCATTATTATCAAGCATGACTTGGGAAAGCTTTTATTTTCTAAGCATTAAATGTCTTTGCTCTGACTCTGGTTTCCACAGACAGCAATGCCTTTCAGCGTGGCCCAATATACCATGCTCTCTCATGGATCCCAGACTTAAGCAAAGTAGATGGAATGTAGGAAAATGCCCAGGGGTGGCCAGGCCTTTAATGATGAAACCATGCCAATAACTAAATGACCAGAAAACCAAAAGTTCATTTATTTTCCTGAAGATTTTCTCAGACATTCAGCAGGGAATCTGTCATGAGAGTAGGGAATGAATTGAAGAAATAGGGACTATGATCCCCAGACTGGGGTCCCTATCTAAAGTCAACCAGAGCTTATGTGCCTGATACATTCAAATTGACCATTAACTAAGATGTCAGGAGGGCTTCAATTTTATGGAACAACTGGCATGATGCTAGATGAAAATCAATACATATAATCTAAATGTTGTATTTGGTGGGTTGTCAGTTGGTGTTTGATTTCTATTTCTCTTTCTTGGACTGATTTTCTTTCTGCAATCAGCATGATGAAAAAGAAAATAATGCTTATAAATGAAGTCAGCATATAGTACTGGCTGAGCTGGAGGAAGTTGGCAGCTGCAGAAATTCTGTTTTCACTTTACATTAAGTGGCATTAATTACACTGCTATGTAACTAAGTATAACCACACAGTCATGGAGCAATATTCTACTTTTATTTCAGGGGTGCTGGGATACAATTATTTGACTTTAGGCTGGGGGACTAGGCCCTCTGGGTCACCTCTCAGACAGGACTGTATCATTTAGGCCAGGACCTCAGTCTAAGCAAGAAATTATCAAGTACCTTCTCTTGACGAAGCCTAGCAACCCTGAGACAGCTGGTCTACCAGGTAAGCCAAAAATTTCTTCCTCTTTAGTCCAAAAAGTGAGATATATGAAACAGATCTAAGCAATAAACCTTTGACTGCAGGCCTTAGCACTGGCTTTGAAAATGAAATCACTCCCAAATTCAGATTTTCAGATTTCCCATCAAAGCTTGGAGTATTATAGACCCAATGCAACCTTGAACAAGAATGGCCTATATCTGGTTCCACTTGTGAATAAGGTGATGCAGCCTTTAGTAACTTCCATTCAGATAATGGGAATTTCTCAATATATTCAAGGGTGATACTCTTTCCTATTAACCAAGGGATCATGACAGAGAAAAAAAAACAGTGCTCCAGCTTTCTGTCTTCCATTAACCAGATACAAGGTCTTGGAAGAGATAAACTATTAACATCCTGACCCACTGTGGGTTATCTATAAAGTGGAGATAACAGCATAGCTCTAAAATGTAAGAACTTTGCTCACTAGGACTCTTAATTTCTTTGCAACTCAAAGCTCTAGGGTTCAAGGTATATTTTTCATGGGTTCCTGGGGATAGAGATCTTGATTTTATTTCAGTAAACTCAGTGCTTGTTACATGCTAGGGAGTCATTTATACTGCATTGAATTGATATTTAAATAAGTATAATAATTCCTCCCAAAAATATTTTCTTGCAAATAACCTACAATGCAGCAACCAACTACCAGGTTTTTGTTTTCTTTTGCATTTTTGGCAAAGAATGAGATTCAGCCACATCATTCTGCATACCAAAGGAACCAGACAAGAGCAGAAGTTTCAGAAATAATGAGAAAAAGGACACATGGGGACACTCCTGACTTTCAAAGAGCTTGGGTGTCTGAAAACAGGAGCAGATAGTCAATTACTCCCAGATAAGGAGGGCTGTCTTGTTTGTGCAGATTGGCAAAAACTTAAAGCTTTCACTTCCTAGGCTGTATTCCTTGGTATCAGGGTAAATTTCAGGGAGTGAGGATTAAAATCCAGCCTGGTTTCCATTTGCCCAGTCATTTTTACTGGACATGTGGTTCCTAGTAGGGTACCTCTGCTAAGCTACTCATCCTTGGAACTGCATCTGCCCAGAGAGAATTTTCCCCAAATTTATCAAGTCAGGGGGATTTATGCTGATTCTCCATTTCCTCCTCCCCAGACCCATTCATTGTCTTTGCCCTGCTCTGTGCTCCAGAGGATGGCCTCTACATGAAGAATGTGAGCATCTCTTTCCTTCTGGCTTCCACTTGGATTTGGCCAAGTAGAATCACCAGCAGGAGATGAGAAAGATAAAGAAAAAAATAGGCCAGGTTATTTATTTCTTCCATCACCTCTCTTCCTCCACCCAACTCCTGTGCCCTGGGTTCCAACAGTGACTGTAGTTCTGTTGGACTGCCCCTCCACAGCTCTAGCTGTCACTCAACTCCAGTTATATGTTCCCTCTTCTCTTCTTTCAGACTTAGGGGTAGTAATGGCTTTCACTATTGCTAATCCCTACGTGCCTGCTCATCTTTGTGGGTTCCCTGTTTCCTGGCTACCCTTCTGCAAATGGTCCTCAATAATTCTATTAAATTAAGCCCTTTTGACTCTGTCATCTCTTTCTTGTTAGGTCACTAACACATATAGTGAGTCTTTTTTCTAATCTGTCATGAACCTTTTTCTCATCTGTGGAGACCTCAGGTGCAGGTAACACTTTAAAATTTAGAACAAACATTTTCCATGTCACTGATGGATCTCTGAGATTTCAGGACTGGCTCACTAATAAAATCATGAACATTTACAAAGTCTACATTGCAGTCATCTGCCTTCGGGGCTTTGTGGGGGCTACGTCAGTGTTTCACCCCTTTTCTTGCTCTAATCTCTC